GTCGGTTTATCAATATACTGTTCTGATTGGGCAAGTAACAGGCAACAAAAGGGAATGTATTTACCTTTACAATTAAGAGTCCGAAGTCGTTCGGAACTACAAAAATCTCTGAGTCTCAAATATTTGAAATACGTAGCAGAGAACACCACCTAAAGAGAAACGGGATGGAATGAAGCGAAAACTGCCTGCTTTGTATTGCAATTATTTAATTAAAATCATAGCATGCAAAACTTAGAGATATCATTTGAGTGAATAACAATAAAATTAAAAAAATAAGGCACTTGTTGATGTACGTAGCTTTAAATGTTATTGTATGTAAACTGAAACGAAACGACCAATTACGACGAAACTGTGAATTACAGATCGTGACGTTTGAACTGCTATGCGCTGCTAAACGTCGGCTTAGTCAGGCGATGAGGTCCAGATCTCTGGAATGTAGAATAAGATAACCTTTGCTGACTATTTAGCGTTTAAACATGATAAGCATAAGACTGGAACGAGTCAGTGTCTTTCTCGTCTCGCCTCAATCCCTTTTTCGTGCGCACCAGCCCCAACTTTTGGTTTCCATATTTGCGAACAGTTCGTTGAGTAACATCTTAGAAACATGCATGAGACGAAAGACTGATAACCGATAGTTTAAAATCATTCGAGTCTTTTTTAGCCGTCAATTTGAGGAGACACAGCCGTGGTTCTAATAAAATTTTGCATCAATCAGAGCATGGTATTGACAGATCCAATAACATGTGATCACAACCGCTTTCCGCTCTTCGGTGTAGAATGTCAAGCTGAGCTTTAAGGCGTAAAAGTTCAGTTCAATCAGAATATATCAACTGTAGCACAATCGCGAACATTTTAAACTCCCCTAAAGGCGGACAGGCTCGATTTCAGCTGATAAGTTGTATTAAGGTTTTTGTTCGAGCTACTTCTACCACTTTGATGCGTACCATCGACTCGTTCCCTTCTCAAATGCTATTAATTTCCGACAGCAGTTTTTACACTATGATCCGACAAACGTACAAATATGTTGTCCAAATAAAGCGCAGAGATTTCTAACCTTTTCTTGTCTAAACCGAAGTGAAATTTCCCTCTCGTTTACAACAGCTTCCACTACGAAGGAGTGAAACAACAACGTATTTAGAGTTAGAAGCAAAATTTGGTAAAGCTTAGGCTCAGTAAAGGCTACTTATAGCATCGACAACCGAGGGAAGGGGTAGTTTACCAACGGGTAAACTCCACTTTGAGGTCCAACGGTTCTCAAACTTTTTATAGTTTTGGACAGCATTGACTCAACAAACATGTGATCCTGATATAACGCAGAAATAACTTACCTTCTCTCGCCTATGTCGAAGTGGAAGATCGGCAGCGAGAATGAATTCTTCTCTTGTGTATGAAAACTTCCGCAGGGTCTGGCTACAACGACAATGTGAAATGTTTGAGTAAAAAAGTGGTAAGGATGCAATACCGCCAGGAAACTGCTCTCGGCGGTATCAAAACCGGGGGTGCTCTAAGAAGTTCAAGATCATAAGGTTCCCGTTGAGGTCCAACACCTTACTCACTCTTACAACTGTGGAAGAGGCATCCTTTTCGTACACTTTCCACAAAAAAATTTGTGCCTCTTTTAAACCTACTTTTGAATATCAAACCGACAGATTCCGTAACCCTTTGAAAAAAACTGAAGCCTGGAAAAGGTCGGTCTAATGGGCGGAGCCTCCCCATCTGAGTCATTTTAGGAAATACCTCATCCCCTTCCAGATGAAAATGAATCATCTGGTTGCCTCAAATAAAATGTTAACGATGAGCTTTTAAATTTGGACTAAGATGAGAAGGAATACTTCTCTGTATCGCAGATCGTTGATATTTAGCCGCATCTCCTAATTAACTTCCAATATTTAAGCTGAATACGCCGCATGGCGAGAGAGGGGAAATAGTTGGTTTATCAATGATGGGGCAACTAACAGGCAACAAAAGGGAATGTATTTACTCACCTTTACAATTAAGAGTCCGAAGTCGTTCGGAACTACAGAAATCTCTGAGCCTTGGTAACGAGTCAAATACTTGAAATACGTAGCAGAAAACACCGCCTAAAGAGAAACGGAATGGGATGAAACGAAAGCTGCCTGCTTTGTATTCGGGAACACACGATATTTCAATCTCATGACTAATGCCCGCGGCATTCGAATATACGCAGACAGAGGTCAAAAGGTTTTTCTCGTGACTTAGTATCTTATTTTACATGACAAATAAAGTAATCAGGTATATCAAATTTTGTTGTTGTTCCCGTCAAGAGCTCTTTCCATGTTGCGCAATTTTGGATTATAGCCATATGGTCAGATTTAGCTCAAGGCTTGACCTTTCTAAATAGTTATCCTTCGTACAGCGGACGCTCACATCTGAACACGGATTTTTTGTGACCGTAAAAGGATAAACTCGATAAACGAATGGTAAATCGTTTTTCTTACGATTTATAGTTGCTATTGATTGTAGAATCAAACTGTGAATTGCAGATCGTGACGTTTGTACTGCTGAGCGCTGCCAAACGTCGGCTTCGTCAGGTCGAGGTCGAATGATTACATGCTAATACTTATGTTGCATGGGGCGATAATGGTTAGCTGTCATTGGTGCATGCATTTTGGCACGCCTTAGTTGTATTTAAACATTTGTTTTCCATCAAGATGGATTTATTACCCGGGCTTTCCGAAGGAAACGCCCGAGGTATAAATTCGGCTTGGTTTTTTTTTTTTTTTTTTGCGTTCAGTCACAAAACGCAGTTCCACTACAGCGCATGCGTGAAGTGTGGGCGCATGCGTAGAACGAACAAAGAGCGCGCGGTTTAAAGCAATGGCTGCCTTTGTGGGCAATTTCTTGCTTGATGTACGCGAAAGAAATTCGTTGGCTGTTACGCCCAATATACATACAAAGTCACACACCGTTCGCGGTAGACCCACACTAAAACCTGTGGAGCGTTTTTGGAACGGGTAGGTCCGCGAACTTTACGAGAGATCAATTTACGAGCGATCCTTTACGAGTGAACCTTTTATTGAGAAATATCAAGCGAAACCTGCTATATCAAACGAGTTATCTCATATTATGTTTACATTTAAACACAACCATGTATTTAAACGTGATCGAGAACCCAGTAGAATACCAGAAGCTACTCTGAAACGTCTCAGAAGAAAGGACAGAAAACTGAAGGAATTTGTTTATGAGCGTATTCGTTCAAGCATACCGAAGTCCTCTTGGCTACGTCGTTATGTGAAGGTTAGAAGAGTTACAAAATACGAAGAGGGTAAGATTAATAAAGTTACAAAACATGATAAGAAGTATTTGTTGAATTGTTCTGTAAGGATAAATAAATTGAAGTATAGAGCAAGTAGGTACTTAACAATGTTTTCTTGTAATAGACCCATGTGTCTTTATAAGAGTCAGACACACGCATCAAACTATTGTAAGTTTCAACTGAGTTCAGATATAGAGAAAAACCCTGGTCCTACTCCAATGTACATTGACCCTAGCAAAACAATGTTGGCACCATATAGCCAAGCTAACGAATTGGTATTTGGACAGAATTCAGGACAACAATATGTTACAATGAGTTTATGCTCTTTGATTTACAATAACAAACAAGGAATCAATTCTGCTAATGATCTCATGTCAATAATGAATATTGGAAATCAGTTGTATTCAAGTTTGTCTCAGTTAACCAGACAATCATTTTTAATGCAGACAGAATTACCCACACTTTTAAAAGTGTTCAAGAATGACTATGAACTTCAATACAGTGAGAGCTACACTGGTACTATTCATCAAGAAGCTACAAGAGAAGGATGTCAGTACTGTACCTCCTTAGATAGAGCCTTTCAATCACTTATATCCAAAAATTTCAACAATTTTGTCTTGACGATAGGATGTACTGCAGTTGCTATCTATTGTAAAGGTAATGTGGGCTTGAATATATTTGATTCTCATGCAAGGAATATTTATGGTAGAAGCCATCCTCAAGGTACATGTGTGCTGCTTGAAGTATCATCACTGAATAGCTTAGTACATTATTTTCAGAGTATTCATTACAATGATATCTTTGAATTGAAAGGGGTTAACATTAATAAAGTTCAAAATAGTACCCTTTTTCAGAGTCATGCCTGTGAAACCAGAAAGTTCAATGTGAGTTGTGCTGTGGCTGTTTATTCACTCTGCTACTCTTTAATAAAATCATCTAGTTATTGGAATTCAAACACCTTATCTGATGTTATTTAGTATGGCAAAAGATTAAACGAAAATTCATCTTTGAACAAGTATTTACTGTTAGATGATTTGCCAAAAACTGTTGATGTCTGTGGAACTGAAGTAAGGTTAGATCTTAAAAGTGATTACAGTGAAGGAATATTGTCTGATTCAGTTGATGGCAAATCACTTCTCGAAAATGTTAATAGTGAATGCACAGGGTTTTTGATGTGGTTTTCAGTTTTCTGTATGACGTATTTTTACACCCACAAAAAGGTCAAAATATGTCTTTACCCTCTTGCTATTTAGTGAAAGTCAACTGCCTCTAATTGAATATACTAAAACTGTAAATAGCACTGCTTCTCTTGTTGTGGCCATCAGCAATATTCAAAAATTGCATAACGCTGGAGGATATTACAAAATTCAGTTTATAACATGTTCAGCTAAAACTGTTGTGAGAGTTGAAAGGAAAAAGATAATGAAGAATGAAAGAAAAACAAAATTATGAAGCAATGGAACTGTCAAAAAAGAGAATGTTAATAGAAAAAACAAGCAAGGGATACTGCAAATAAACTTGAATTACAAAAGAAACGAGCAAAACAATACAAAACAATGGATTCAGCGAAGAAACCACTTATTAAACAAACAAGCAGAAAAATGCAAAACTATGGATTCAGCAAAGAAATAAGACCTATTAAATAAACAAACACAAAAATACAAAACTGCATGCAGCAAAGAAACAAGACCTGTTAAACAAACAAGCAGAAAAATTTAAAACTATGGATGCAGCAAAGAAAGAAGATTTACTTCAGAAACAGAAACAAAAATACTGTGGTAATAAAAGTAAAAGCATGGATTCATGCATTGATACATTTAAAAAGAAAATTAAGGAAGGTCCATATTATATATGTTGTGTGTGCAATAGGATGCTCTACAAGAAATCTGTATTGCAATTGATCTCAAATAGGTACCCTTCTCACCATCTTTTTCATGTGCAAATATCATTTGATACAAGAATTTATATCTGTAACACATGTCACTTAAAAGTTATTCAAGGAAAGGTTCCATGTCAGTCAACTGTAAACAATTTATGTGTTGATGATGTACCAACTGAACTTGAAAGTCTTAAAAAACTAAAGCAAATTATAATAGCACAGTGGATTGTATGTGAAAAAATAGTAGTGATGCCCAAGGGACAACAAAGAAAGATTAAAGGAGCAATTTGTAATGTACAAGTTGATTGTGATCAAACATGTAACATATTGCCTCGTCCCCCTGAAAGATCTCGTATTATTCTTTTGAAATTGAAAAGGAAAAATTCAGTTTAGAGGTCATGTTTATTTTGTAGCAGTTAGACCAGAATTCGTAATGACAGCACTAAATTGGTTAAAAGCCAATAATATCCTTTACAAAGATATACAGATTGATTGCACAAATATTAGCACAGAACTGACAAGTATAATGAATGATGAAGAGATTGATCACACAAACTCATTACCAATAAACTCTCCTCAAAACAATTTAGAAAAAAATACATATGAAAATGCAATAAATAGTGCAAATTCTTATAATTCTGTAAATGTAGGAGTAAATAGTCTTGCAAACAATACTTCTAGTGACAACATGGAAGTCCAAAATGAAGAAGAAGTGGAAGACCCTTTAAATGAGCATTGGTCACCTGCCAATGAGACATGTCTACAGTCAGTCATTCCAGATTACCCTATAGTTACTGAGGAACATAACTCCAATAACTGTACAGGTAGAGAAATTTACAATATGCCCCTGGAGAAAACAAACACCCAGTGTCTTTAATGACTGATAAACAATGTGAAGAACTTGCATTCCCAGTATTATTTCCTAATGGTAAATTTGGTTACACTGCTGAAAGAGATGTTAAATTATCTCCAGTAAAATACTTTAATGCTAGACTGTTGCATTATAGTGGGCGGTTTGCTACAAATCCAGAGTACCTTTTCTTTGCACAGTTCATTATTGAGTAGAAAAAAGTATCTGACAGCATAAATATTGCTCTGAAGAAGGTTCATGGTCAGAGTGTTACAGCATCACAAGTCAGGTCAAATACACAAATCCTGCAAAACCTTATTTCTCAAGATGAAGCCTACTTATTTCTGAGACAAATTCCAGGCTCTCCTCCATACTACCAAAAATTCATGTACGAAGTAGTAATGGTAAAACAGCTTGGTATACCGACATGGTTCATGACACATTCATGTACTGATTTAAGATGGCATGAATTATTTCAGATTATTGCTCGAACTAATGGAAAAAACATGACTGATGAGGAATTCGAAGCTTTATCATATGATGAGAGATGCAGGCTTCTGAATCTCAATCCGGTCATAGTAGCTAAACACTTCCAGTACAGAGTAGAAACATTCTTTGTTGAAATTTTACTAGCTAATGCAAATCCAATTGACAAAATAATATATTATGCTCTCCGTATAGAATTTCAAATGAGAGGTTCTCCCCATCTACATGCGCTGATATGAACGGATGACTGCCCTAAATTAACCCATGAAACTAAGTAAGAGTATATAGACTATGTTGACCAGCATGTGCAAGCATACTTACCAGACAAAGACACTGATCCTGAACTCTATGAATTGATCAAGAAATATCAAACACATAGCCATAGCAAAACATGTAGGAAATATAAAAACATTGCATGTAGACTCAATTTTGGTCAGTTCTTTACAGACAGTACAAGTGAACAAGTAATAAATTGCTACCACTATCCATCCAGTAGGTACCCAGGCCCGTTAGAGACCCTCAGCAGGGAGATATTTTCCTCGCCTAAACTTGATTTACATATTGTGCATGTAAACGACACATCGTCTTTCGTTATTTCTGCATTTAGCGCACTACATACAATATTACTGCATACCACGAATTCTGCTGCGATTTTAATGATTTCCATCATAGTAAAGAATGGTAAAGAATTGACTTCTAAAGTTTTATTAAGGGCACCAAGATGGACTTGGCAGATGTTTCTTCAGAAGGATAAGACAAAATTAATTAAATTTTTGAAAATCGCCACAAAAATTGCTAATTTAAACGCACCCTAAGTAAGCCCGAGTTCACGCAGTTATGCGTCTAGTTAATTTAAGCTTCCTCGGGGTGGTTCAAATTCTTTTATTTTCTCGTCTTTTTTGCATCAATCGCAAGAAGAAGGCAAGTCAAGAGGCGAGGAACGCAGGCCCCACGCTCTCCTCGCTCGCGAGTAGGATACAAACAGTACTTTTCCTCGGCGGTGCGCGAGTGAAAATTAATTAAGCCAAGAAATTAGCGATGAAATGTACCGTACACTGCACATAATATTTTGACTGTGCTTTTCCTATGAATCTTCTTAATAACAACAGATTACGGTGGGTAGAAGAGGCTACTATATGGTTCAAGAGATGCTATAAACACTATAAGCTACTGATCCGTAAGCTTCAGTCTAACCAGGCGCTTATCTACGCATTGCAGACCGATAAGTCTTTAAATAAATATTATGTATCTAGAGATGTATAAGATGTGCTACAGATCACAGGTTCCTTGCAGCTTTTAAAAACTCCCGAAGAAGCGTAAACAATTTTTATAGCGAATTCTAATTCATTTTAATTTTATCTTTTAATTTCGCTCGCGAGTAGGATACAAGCAGTACTAAGCCAAGAAATTAGCAATAAAACGGAAAGAAGAACAGTTAACTAAACTTTTAACGCCTGGAGTCAAAATTTGAGCTTAGGTCTGTGTTTCATTGGAACAGAGAAGCTTCTATAGAGGGGAGTCATATTTTTTTGCTTGCGAATGAGCACACACATACCGGCCGGCAAGTACGGAAGCTACCTAGTGTCTTGTTTCGCCGAGAGTTTCCATATCGCTGTTCAGGAGTAGTTTCTGCTAGTCAAATAATTATAATAATAATAATAGTAATTTAAACACATTGGGCAATGCTTCGACCGCTCAGGGAACAAATAGAGCTAAAAAAATACCACAAAGAGCAGTCAAGAGCTCAGAGTGCCGTGGACTGAGTACTCTTTTGTAAAATCATTTATCAAACTATTGACCTTAAGCCCCTGTGCGGACAAAAATCAGTAAAGTTTGTTGTTTTTTACGCAAAAAAAAGTAGCTTAAAACAAAACCGAACAGATTTATCTTTGGTATATAATCTGAACAACAGTGAATATGTGTTTGGTCCAGATCTACGAAATAGCGCTCCATACATCACTCAACTATTCTTGAATGTAGAATATGTAGAATACGATAACCTTTGCTGACTATTAAACGTTGAAATATATTAAGCGTAAGACTGGGACGAGCCAGTGTCTTTCTTTTGTTTCGCCTCAATCCCTTTTTCGTCCACACAACCCTTAACTTTTGGTTTCCATATTTGCGTACAGTTCGTCGAGTAATATCATGGAAACATGCATGAGAAAAAAAAAATTAATAACTGATAGTTTTCAACCACTTGAGTCTTTAGCTGTTAATTTGAGGAAACAAAACAGTTCTAATAAATTAAGAGTCAGTCAGAGTATGGTATTGACAGATCAAATAAACAAGTGATTATATCCTCTTTCCGCCTGTCGGTGTAGAATGTCAAGATTAACTTTAGGACGAAAAAGTTTGGTTGAATCAAAATAAATCAACTATTGCCCAATCGCGAACATTTTAAACTCCCCTATGGGCGGACAGGCTCCATTTCAGCTGATAAATTATTTGAAAGTTCTCGTTCGAGCTGCTTCCACTACTTTCGGGCATACCGTCGACTCGTTCCTTCTCAAATCCTATTAATTTCCAACAGCAGTTTTACAGTATTATCCGACAAACGTGCAAATATGTTTCCCAAATAAAGCGCAGAGATGTCTCACCTTTTCTTGTCTAAATCGAAGTGAACTTCTCTCGTTTACAACAGTTTCCCCTACGAAAGAGTGAAACAACAGCGTATTAGTGTCAGAAGCAAAATTTTTTAAAGCTTAGGCTCAGTAAAGGTTACTTTTGGCATCGACGACCGAGGGAAGGGGTAGGTTACCGACGAAATAAACGTTCTATACGGGTAAACTCCACTTTACTGTCCAACAGTTCTCAAACGTTTTATATGTTTGGACAGCATTGACCTTCTCTAGCTTTTGTCGAAGTGAAAGATTGCCAGCGAGAATTAATTCTTCTCTTGTGTGTGGCAGGGTCTGGCTACAATGACAATGTAAAATGTTTGAGGAAAAAAGTGATAAGGATGCAGTGCCGCCAGGAAACTGCTCTCGGCGGTATCAAAACCGATTCGCTCATAATTAACCGCTTACATGCGGATTTAATTAGTATCAAATTAACGCATACAAGCGGTCAAAGTAGGGCCTATTTACCTATCGAGACCTGAAAGGACTCAAGGCCTGGTGCCATAGCCTGCGAACCCTTGAAACGCGGCTTTGAAAAAGCTTTGGATACCATTATGCCTCCTAAACGCGATTTTAGGTCGAAAAAAAGTTTGAATGTAGTTACTTTTAAAGGAGGAAAAGCTATAAGAAAGTCGAAGTTTAGTGTTCCAGTTCGATATGCCGCCCAGCAATTAACTGATACAACGTCTGTAGTCGCCGGATCTTCTCCAAACACGTGCGGCGGTTTTTCTCTAGACCAAGAAGACCTTCCCCATATTGACGAACATCATGGTTTGAGAACCAACCAAAGATCTAAAAGTAAAAAAGTGCGACTGAAGCGCAAGTTAAAAGCTTACCATGAGAGGAAAGCCACGCTGGCTTTGTCTTGGCTCAATGCGAGAGAGCAGCTCGTCTCAGCGTTGTTGACCAGACAGGCTTTGCCTTTGAGGCAGATGTGTATCATTCCTTTTTGCGAAGAAGAGGCGTGCGGCAGATGCCTTCACTGCAGTCCAGGGCAATTCCTATGCGCAGATCACATCAATTTAGTTCACGCAGGCGGTAGATCACTTCACCACCCGGAAGTTTGGAAAGTGAGTTGAAGATTTATGGAGGACAATCTCCTCCAGTCACCTTTTCAATTATGTTGTGAAACCCGATTTCTTGTGTACTCTGGCCGTTAGGCAATTTCATTTGTAAGTACGTTGTCTTGTGGTTTAATTGCAGAGACATCCATCTTTTTTTTCTTACAACTCCATATATCACCTCTATTCAATTACTTCACTTGATGTAGTTTTTTCTCAACTTCAATATGCATTATGTCCATGAGACCTGACCCATTTTTATACAGAGGAAAAAGCTAAAGCTGTAAGGATAATTTTTTCTTGCAAGCATACATGTAATTTGCTCTATACTCAGAACAAAGTAAAGTTTATTTTGGCAATTTTGAAAGAGTTGGCTGATTTAAATGGTGTGTGATTTGTATTCACCTGATTCATGTAGGATATTTTATGCTCTTAGGATGGAAGATTTGTGCCATATCAGTTTGGTGAGTGTGTATGGACCACACCTCACAACATGGATCATGGATATGTGCGTGACATTATAGCTGTCGGTTTGCATGGTAAGTAACTAACAGCTGTGCAATATGTAACTTTATTGTGAGATAGGTTGCCAGTCTGCAATTAGTAGTACTACTTTTTACTTATACTTATATTTAAATAGTTAGGTTACCTCCTCCAGGAAGGTCTTTGTTTGTGTTTTAATTGTTTTTTTCAACACAGACAGGAATTAATAAACAAATATTATTATAGAAGAATACAACTATGGACACTCTATGGTGTTTGTCTTTATACAGGGCAGCAGAATCAAATCAAAATCAAATGTTGCGAGCATGAACCAGAAGCCATAACGCTGGTCAGGAATGGTTTCTGGCCATCTACTCCAAAACAGCCCCAGGTAGCCTTTGACCTTGAATTTATGGCCTTGCTCCAATACATTTTCTTAGAATGTAGAGTGTCTTTAAGGTCAATATGTCAGGCACTGCAGTGGCTGGTCCCACCTGCTTCAAAGGTTTATGTAAGTATTCATTCAGTAATTTTTTATCTTATGCTTATGAATTCCTTTTTATT